CAGCCTCCCAAAGGCGTGGGATTACAGGCTGAGCCACCGAGCCTGACTCATTTCATATTTTTAAAAGTCACTCTTGAGCCATTTGAAATGGCAGTAACCCACAGGGTGGAAGTCATGCTGAGGGTCCATGCACAAGGTAGAAAGAAGAACGTGTGGACCCTGGGCCAGCTGTTGCCCCAGAATGAGGACCCATTCTGTTAGCTAGGTCAGAATTATCTGCCAGCTGTGACAAGGATAACCTGTAAGAAAGCCTGCCTTTGTAGGGCACAGTGTGCCATTTTGGAGGTACCCTGTATTCTGGATCCTTCTCTCCTCCAAAGCCCTTACTTGGGCCCTACCTCCAGAAGAATTCAGCAACACTAGCACTGGGACTGAAGAAGGCTGGCGATGTCTATGTTCAGTGAAAGAGGGTTAGATCTTACCTTTTTTTCTGGTTTTGAAACTAGGGGGATTTCATTAAATGTGCAGCATTCTTTTGAAGAAACAAGGGCAGTGTCTTTGCAATTTAACTAGGGGCTCTTAGAGTTTGTGCAAGATAGAATTGTATGTATCCCCAAATTCTGTGCATTTTTCTTTCAGAAAACATCCCAGAAAAATGGACTCCCGAAGTCAAGCATTTCTGTCCCAACGTGCCCATCATCCTGGTTGGGAACAAGAAGGATCTGCGGAATGATGAGCACACAAGGCGGGAGCTAGCCAAGATGAAGCAGGCATGGTCTGGGGCAGGGCTCTGTCTTCCTGTATCCCTGTAGCATTCTCTTTTTTTTGAGTTGAAGTCTCACTGTGTCGGCCAGGCTGGAGTGCAGTGGCAAGCTCACAGCCACCACAGCCTCAACCTACTGGGCTCAGGTGATCCTCGTGCTTCAGCCTTCCAAGTAGCTGGAACTATAGGCGCATGCCACCTCACCCAGTTAATTTTTTGATTTATTGTAGAGACGAGGTCTCACTAATTGCCCAGGCTGGTCTTGAACCCTTGGGCTCAGGCAATCCTTTCATCTCCGCTTCCCAAAGTGCTGGGAATATAGGCATGAGCCACCACACCCAGCCAAGGATTAGGACTTTCTATATGGACTCCTGGCCTTCAGGATTTCCTTGTTTTTCATTTGCCATTAATTTATCTTTAGCTTCAAATGTACCACAGTAATAACTGTAGAGGGAAGTCAAGAGTTTCACAGAGTTCCTGCATGTGAAGCATAAATGGTTCCTTCTCAAGTCAGAGGTCTTTGTGGGCACAGTACGATCTCATAAGAGACATTCAGTCTTGCAGGATTAAGGGATCTGTCTTAGGGATCCTTTGTGCAGGTCCTGGTCCATGAAGACAAGATGGACAGAGGGGCATCTGAATCTCTTAAACAACCTGGCCTGTGAAGATTTCTAAACTTCGAACACTGGAGGCCTTGGTTCAAGAATGCTACAGAGCCAGGTGTGGTGGCTCACGTCTCTAATCCTAACACTTTGGGAGGCAGTGGCAAGAGGATTGCCTGAGCCCAGGAGTTTGAGACCAGCCTGCACAACTTAGTGAGACCTCGTCTCTACAATAAATAAAATGAATTAGCTGGGTTTAGTGGTGGCAACTTGGCGAGACCTCATCTCTACAATAAGTCAAAAAACTTAGCCAGGTGTAGTGGTGCGTGCCTGTAGTTCCATCTACTTGAAAGGCTAAAGCAGAAGGATCGCCTGAGCCCAGAAGGCAAGGCTTCGGTGGCCATGAGTTTGCCACTGCACTCCAGCCTGGGCAACAGAGTGAGACTCTTGACTCAAAAAAAAAAAAAAAAAGTTACAGCCAGGCTCAGTGGCTCAGCCTGTAATCCCGTGCTTTGGGAGGCTGAGGTGAGTGGATTGCCTGAGCCCGTGGGTTCAAGACCCGCCTGGGCAACTTGGCGAGACCTCATCTCTACAGTAAATTAAAAAAAAAAAAAAATCGCTGGGCTCGATGGCTCAGCCTGTAATCCCGTGCCTTTGGGAGGCTGAGGTGAGTGGATTGCCTGAGCCCGCCGGTTCGAGACCCGCCTGGGCAACTTGGCCAGTCCTCATCTCTACAGTAAATCAAAATTTAGCCGGGCGTGGTAGTGTCCTCCTGTAGTTCCAGCTACTTGGAAGGCTGAGGCAAAAGGATCGCTGGACCCCAGCAGGTCGAGGCTGCGGTGGCCAGGAGCGGCCACTGCACTCCAGTCTGGGTGACAGAGTGACTCCAACTCAAAAAAAATAAATAAGCCAGGCTTGGTGGCTCAGCCTGTAATCCCACGCCTTTGGGAGGCTGAGGTGAGTGGATTGCCTGAGCCCGCAGGTTCAAGACCTGCCTGGACAACTTGGTGAGACCTCATCTCTACAATAAATAAAAAAAAAATCAGCTGGGCATGGTAGCGCATACCTGTAATTCTGGCTACTTAGAAGGCTGAGGCGGAAGGATCGTCAGAGCCCAGTGGGTCAAGGCTCTGGTGGCCAGGAGCAGCCACTGCACTCCAGTCAAGGCAACAGAGTTAGACTCCAACTCAAAAAAAAAAAAAAAGTTACAATAGCGGTGGCATCTTGGCCTCTCAGAAAAAACAGGTGGTGGCCTAATTGCAGGGCTTCCTCACTGCAGGAGTGTTGAGGTCTTCAACCCAGGTTCTTTTTCCTTTCATGGGCATTCAGTCCCCTTGAAGCTAACTATATGAAGACCTAAGGACTTCCCCTGGATCAGTAGCTTGAGTAATTTTGCCCATCATTCCTTCTTAACCTTCCAGCGTTGCTCTGACCTATTCCTTCCTTCTTTCTACTTCCCAGAGAAGATCATGTTTAATAGATTTTATATTTGGGAGAGCGTTGGTTACTGCATAGGAATTTCAGAATTTCATGAGATAACCAAATCTGAGACTTCAGCAGCTTTTGTTTTTTTTTTTTTTGAGTTGGAGTCTCACTCCGTCGCCCAGACTGGAGTGCAGTGGCCACTCCCGGCCACCGCAGCCTCGACCTGCTAGACTCTGGCGATCCTTCCC